CCTGCTGATATGACCTCATTTGATGATGCGGAGTAAAAAAAAAAAGATGATTTTCCAAATTTTTATACACACACACATCCATATATATATATATATATATAAGTGCATTAAAAATAATATGTATATATCAGCTTTATACACGCACTTATCAAAGCAGTCAAATGTCAACATTTTTGGTTTTAATAACAAAAAGTATTACTCAAAAAGTGCCATTTACAGTCTAAGGAGTGGAAAAAATGTTCAAATTCTCCATTTAATGCAAAAATAAGATTTTTCTCTGTCTGTTTGGATGCAGTAAAATCAGAAAACATGCTCATGTCTGCACTGTCTCTGGATCATAATTCTGACCTTGAAATCAGGATCAGAAATAAAATAACGTGTGAAAATGGGCTGAGAACTGATCAGATTCAGACAGGAATCATGTGTTTGTGGTGTTTTTCTGCTGTTTAATGGAGAATATAAGACTAATCACCACACAAATGATTCTCAAAGGAAGAAACACAATGAAATGCATCATATTTAGTGAGAACGTGTGACACTGGCGTCAGCAGCTCAGCGTTAGTCAGAAACGCACTGGGTTTCATTCAGCAGAATAAAAATAATCCAGAATTGAGTAATTTTCATGTAGTTTGTGTGGTCATCGTGTGTGTTTCAGGACTCTTGTGGCTCAGCTGCACAAACTGCAGGCTTTGATCAAGCAAACGGCCACCAAAGCGGCACAGACGAGCACGTGCATCATGGTCCGATCCATCTCTGTCTGCTCAGATCATTAATACAAGCACCAGACTGTGGATCTCACGAGTGTGTTCTTGCTCCTCACAGATCCTCCTCTTCTCTCTGGCTCTGCTCATCTTCCCCAGTTACAGTCCGTTCAGCCGTCGTTCTCCGTCGGCGGAGGACACTTACGCTCCGGCCGCCGGTGAGACGCGCTCACTAAACATCACTACTGAACCTTACATGACCGCTAAAGTTTCTCCTGTTGAGCGCAAAAGAACAGTGTTGGTAAACAAACATTATAAAGCAGAGAGTTCCGGTGCTTGATTCTGATTGGCTGAGCCGCGTTCGAAGCTGTTGTAAATTACTCTACAAAGTAACATACACCTTTGTTTACGTTTGTGTGTTGCTCGGCAACCACTTTGTAGCAACCACAACTGATTCTGAGGAGCTACATTGTTTGGTGGAAGAATACTGTTTTTATTAATATCATTACACTTTATTTGCTCTGTTTTATTTTGTGAAACCGTACTACGTATATGGAATAACTGTTTTATAAAAGCAATAACCCCTGTGAAGCTGTGGTTTACAGTGAATTTATAACAGCTAAGGGGCGTTATTGCTGTTGCAGTTGCCATGGTAACAAACAATAATACCTGGAAATTTAGCAACAGCGTATACTGTGCATATTTCTACATGTTGTTTTAGATAATTTTTGGGATAAGCTAATCCTTTAAGTCTGTAAGCTAATCATTTTATTTAAATACTAACTATTCATATAATATTACTATAATATTAAAAAGTTCAGTTTCATTTTAATTTTAGTTCAGATAAACATAAAATAAAATGAAAAGTTCCGAATTAAACTAGTTAAAATAAAAAAATAAAAAATTTAAAGTTTAGAATTAGAGTAGTTAAAATAAATACAAAATAAAATTATAAATTTAGAATTAAACAAGTTAAAATAGAATTAAAATGTTGGAATTTAACTAGTTAAAATAAATACAAAATACAATTATAAATTTAGAATTAAACAAGTTAAAAATATAATTAAAGATGACAGTTTAACTAGTTAAAATAAAAAATACATTTAAAAGTTTAGAATTAGACTAGTTAGAATGAATAAACATACATTTAGAATCAAACTATAAATAAAAATAAATAAAACTGAATGTTTGGAAATAAACTAGTTAAAATAAATGAAATTAAAAGCTTAGAATTACACTAGTTAAAAACTAAAATTCAAAGCTTTGAAGTAACCTAGTTAAAATAAATAAAGTAATATTAAAAGTTTACATGTAAAGTAATTAAAATAATTTTTTACAATTTCATGTTTAGAATTAAAAGCTTGTATGACCACCTAACACCCAACCAGTGCCGATACCGGTAATACGGGTCCGAGTGCAGATATCATATCAGTGTGAAATGTATTATTAAGTCTTGTTCAGAAGCCCTTGACTTCTGTAAGATGCAGTGTTTCTGATTTCAGTGATTTCCAGAAGCATCCTGAATGAGGTGGACTCTCTTCCGCTCCTGGAGGATCCTGTAGAAGATGATCCGATGTCTTCAGAGCCTCTGCCGCCCGCATCCGAACACAAACCTGCAGACGCAGACGGGCCGCAGGATTGGAGTGGAGGCCAGAGGAACGGCTCGGCCGCGGCGGAAGGAAACGCAGACGCAGACAAACCACCGCACGCTGATGAAATGTGAGGCGACTCGACCTGTTTAGCGCTGGGACAGGTGTGGCACATCGTCTGAAACAAAGCCAAGAGAAGAGTTTCTCTGACATGCCTTTATTTATTCTCTCTGAACACAGATACAGGTGTGTCTGAGCCTGCAGCGCTCTTCATCATCATCATCAGAGGATAATCATTATGTGCTTTAGTGAGTCACAACCCAACAATAATCATATCAATGTTTGATTTAAGGACTCTTGTTTGTGCGTGGTTTTTTATTAAGTAAATTTTTACTCATCTGACACTGATCGGATATCATTGCACACATGAGTGAGGTTTGAAATCAGCTTCAAATCTGATTTCTGAAGATCATGTGACACTGAAGACTGGAGTAATGATGCTGAAAATACAGCTGCGCATCACAGAAATAAATTACAGTTTAACACATATTCACATAGAAAACAGCTGTTTTAAATTAGAATAATATTTCGCATTTTTACTGTTTTTACTGTATTTTTGAGCAAATAAATGCAGCCTTGGTGAGCAGAAGAGAGTGTCAGTAACATTATAAATCGTACTGATCCCAAACCTTTGAACACTAGTGTGTCTGAACGCTCATATCCGTTTCCTCCGTTTGTAAACGCATTGTTTTTCTTCCTAATGAAGCTGCTTCGCTTTCGCTTTTTTATAATTAATTGAAAAGCTAAATTAGCACAAGGCAGAGATCACAATTGAAAGTCTTTGGCTTGTGTGATTTTTTTTTTTTTTTTTTTTTTTTTATTTTTTTAGTTCTTTGGTAACATGTTTTGTTGCTGTTTTTGTTCATTTGAGTCACTAAAAATGAAGACAGAATTGAGTCTGCACTGCAAAAAAGTGCTGTTTGTCTTGTTTTTCAGTGTGTGTGTTCTGGTTTATGTGAGGACTTTGTGATTAGTAATGACCTCAACCCAGACCGTTCTCTATTATTCAACACCTCTGTCTGGCTGGCTGTCTGTGTCTCTGTTCATCTGTCTGTCTGCTTCACGTGTCGTCACTGATCTCCTCTCAATCTTTTAAGCTGCTCAGATGCTCACACACACACTCTCTCTCTCGCTCTCTCTCTCTTTCACACACACACACACACACACACACACACTCTCTCTGTTGTCTTTAATGAATTGTGTCCTCACCTGTCAGTTCATCAAGGCCTCTTCAGGGTCACTGATAACACTGATAACACTCTCTTTTTCTTCATCAGTGACCTTCCTCTCCTCCTGTCATTTTATTCTTCATTAAATGTTTTAAATGTTTTATTGGTCATGGTTGAGTTTTTCTCTCCTGCTGCCAAACACTGATTCGTTATCTGAAGACACAGATGAGTCTCTCCGTCTGTCTTCATTGAGAGTGAGACAGTTTCATGTCGTCTGTTGCTTTACATTATTCATGAAATTGTTCATTTGTTGTTAGAATCACCACAGCCAGAAGTGTTCCATTAATGGTTATGTGATGTGATGTTATGTTATGTTATGGTAATAGAATTTTTGATTGTTCCTGAGCTAAATTATAATGTCATCATGATTTGAAAAATGTAAAAATTGTGGTTATGACATTTATATTTTGACTCTGTCAACCCTCTACAATGCGAGTGAATCACTCACATATGCTACAAAATTTTCATGCTACAACTTAATGTGTATCATTAAACATTGGCTAATAATTTTTTTTTTTTTTTTTTAATTTACAGATAGAGCAAACACTTATTATTATTTAATATTTTATCATTACTATTATATTTACAAGTAGAAAAAAACAGTATTATTATTTAAACTATTACATTTACAAGTATAACA